CTATTTAAAAAATTTCTTTATCATTTATTAATTATAAAAAAGCAACATGGGCTTATTACAGAAATTTTTAAAATACAAAAAATTACAAAAGACTAAAGCACAAAACAAAAACTGTTTACCTAGAGATCATCACTGGTAGTATTCTGATGTTTTCTCTAGTCTTTATTTTTTAAAAAGGTGCACATGTGCACATACATATACTCAGCATATAAATGTCATATTTGTGTAATATAAGTACTTTTGTATACTGCTGCTTTCCCTTAAAATATATCATGAGTGTTTTTCCATGTCAGTAAACTTCCCTCAAAACCATAATTTTAATGGCTGCACAGTTTCTCATTGAATGAATATACTATGATTTATTGGGCTGAAACTCTATTGTTGGATACTGATAATGCTGCTCATTTCCCTGTAGGTATCTCTGATGAGCACATGAGGTTAAATATTTTTTTAGCAGGTACACTGGATCGTAGGACATCAATATTTGCAAGAGTTTTAACACCTACTGGTAAAGAGCTATTCAAAAAGTTTATCCAGTTTCTACACCTATCAGTAATACATGTCAGAGCATATTTCAATGTACCCTTGAAATGCTAGGTATTTAATAGTAATTTTTAGTTTATTTAATACTTTGCTTTTGTTTTAATTCGTATTTTTGAGTGCTGGTGAACCTGAATTTTTATCATGTTTGCTACCTTATGTTTCATATTTTATGTCCACCGCCTATTTTTGTGTTGGTATGTTTATATCTTTCCTAGTGATTCATAAGAATTGAGATATATATATATCTATATATCTATATATATGTATATATATACATATATATACATATATATCTATATATATGAGTGATCATTTTTCTATTGTATATTCCTATCATGCAATATTATGCTGCATGACTCAAATAGACTTTAACCACTTTCTAAAGTACAAAGTACTTCATTCAATTTATTGTTAAATGTTAATTTAATACATAAACTTTCTTCTGTTTCATAAATCATTAATTAAAATAAGAAAAACAGAATCCAAAGTGGCTGGTGAATAATAACTATATTCAGAAGTACTGCAATATTGAATCTGCTGTGAAATATTATATGTTTCTATGCAGTATGTGGAAAGGCCAATCTTATTTTTACTTACCTTGAGTAAGTGATCATATAATTGGAGTGTTCCATGAAACCCTCTACTTAAGCTTTATTAAACTACTTTTCTAACTCAAATTCCCAACTGTATTTTTAAAATGTAGATTCTTTTTTGAAAAGTAATTCCTTCCCCTCAAAAAAGTAATTGCAAGTAACACCATAATGAATTAATCTCTTTTATCCATAACACAAGTAACATTAACGATAATAAACTATCAGTAGCTAGATATGGATCAAGGAATAATCAAAGAGAGGAGTAGGTGATTCAAGATAAAATGAATTATAATTTTTCAAGGTTATCCCTATTCTTCGTATATATATATAACTGAAATAAAAATTCACATTATTTAAAAATCAACATATCAATAAGCTTTCAGAGAAAGCTAAGACTAAACCATTTTACAATCAGAAGTATGTTATAAACCCCACGATTCCTGACACTGGGATGTTTCATTGTAATATGCACCTTCTTATAAAATTTAAATTATTTTACAGAAATGACAGGTTTTTTTCCTGGGAAATGAAGCAAGCATAACTTACCACATCCCGAAAGACAACAGCACGAAGGCGATTGATATCAACGTCCTGAAGAAGTCTATCGGGGTCCTTAATAGGAGAAAGGTTACCTGGAACATTTTCTAATGGAGTCTTTAAAAAGATAGAGAATTGAGATAAAATACCATAATACATGAACTTATATAGTAATATAATTTCTAATGCCTCCTATTTAGTCATTAAACTGGCCACAGTCTTTACCTGCTCATCACTGGATAATACTGTATTGACTACAGTGCTCTATCGTAAGACACTTCTCCTGTTCTCCTCTATTCTTGTCACAATTTCCCTTGTTCTTTATCACCACAGCTACCAGTACAGACTCAGAAAAGCAGGTGAGACTGTGGTAGAAAAAAGGCTGATCTTGGACTTTAGAAAATTTGGGCTCACATCTCTGCTGTGTGACCTTGGGCTTATTACTAAAATTTTCTGATCCTCACTTTCCATTCCTCTAGTTAATAAATCTCTTTGAGTTACGACATTTNGATTCTTTTTTGAAAAGTAATTCCTTCCCCTCAAAAAAGTAATTGCAAGTAACACCATAATGAATTAATCTCTTTTATCCATAACACAAGTAACATTAACGATAATAAACTATCAGTACCTAGATATGGATCAAGGAATAATCAAAGAGAGGAGTAGGTGATTCAAGATAAAATGAATTATAATTTTTCAAGGTTATCCCTATTCTTCGTATATATATATAACTGAAATAAAAATTCACATTATTTAAAAATCAACATATCAATAAGCTTTCAGAGAAAGCTAAGACTAAACCATTTTACAATCAGAAGTATGTTATAAACCCCACGATTCCTGACACTGGGATGTTTCATTGTAATATGCACCTTCTTATAAAATTTAAATTATTTTACAGAAATGACAGGTTTTTTTCCTGGGAAATGAAGCAAGCATAACTTACCACATCCCGAAAGACAACAGCACGAAGGCGATTGATATCAACGTCCTGAAGAAGTCTATCGGGGTCCTTAATAGGAGAAAGGTTACCTGGAACATTTTCTAATGGAGTCTTTAAAAAGATAGAGAATTGAGATAAAATACCATAATACATGAACTTATATAGTAATATAATTTCTAATGCCTCCTATTTAGTCATTAAACTGGCCACAGTCTTTACCAGCTCATCACTGGATAATACTGTATTGACTACAGTGCTCTATCGTAAGACACTTCTCCTGTTCTCCTCTATTCTTGTCACAATTTCCCTTGTTCTTTATCACCACAGCTACCAGTACAGACTCAGAAAAGCAGGTGAGACTGTGGTAGAAAAAAGGCTGATCTTGGACTTTAGAAAATTTGGGCTCACATCTCTGCTGTGTGACCTTGGGCTTATTACTAAAATTTTCTGATCCTCACTTTCCATTCCTCTAGTTAATAAATCTCTTTGAGTTACGACATTTTATTTAACCATCATGTATTTATACTATATGAGATTATTGTGTTACATTAGTCTAGATTTATATGTATAAGCATTTCATCATCTACAAAAAATCAGAAAAGGTAAACTTAAAAAAATTCAGTCATAGCCTTAATATTAAAACTGAAAGATATCAAAGATCATTACAATCAAAATTGTTTTTATAGCTGAAGATATAAAACCCCACAAATTTTATGTAATGTGTCACACAGCAAACTAACAAGAGAGGCAGGTTCCCTGAAACTTAATCTAGTATTTTTCACTTACACAACATGTTAAGAATTGTGTGGACATAATATGCTAAGAATGATATGAATTAAATTAAATAATATATGTGAAATATTAGATACAATTCCTGCATATAGAATAACTTGCTAGTACTCTAAGTAATTAAAAATAAACAGCCTCCTTCTAATTCTCTATAGGCCTCAATTATCATATTTCACTCCTAAATTAAGATGCTTGGTTCCTCTGAAGCACAGGATAGTGAAAAGAGCAGGGAATTTCAAAGTTGATAGTTATTTAGTTTCTATTACAATTCCAAAATTTGCCAGCATTATGATCTTAGGTGAGATACCTCAGTTATAGCATCTAAATAATAGGCTAATAATATTTACCACAGGACAATTAAATAAAATAACATTATTTACAGCACTGATGAAGCATATGGAATTTATAACATAAATGAAAAAAATTATAAATATTTTAATTTATATATCCTTTTACAAAGTGTCTCTATATCCATGATGTAATTTGATCCTTATAAAGATTGCTTTATTAAAAAAGCTTACATCATTGCTCCTTTTTAAAAAGTATAAAAAATGAGACCCAATGAAGATGTGAGACTCATGCAAGTACACACAGGTTGTTACACACCCAAATTAACTATGGTTTACTCACTAAAGTGGCACATGAAAAAAATGCATAAATATAGGGAGTTAAAAAAAAACAACAAAAAACCCTCACCAACGAGGTCCATCGATTCTGTCCTGAAATGTGTTATCTTACCAAGTCAACTTTTCCCCTAATATTTCTATATTCATCACTTATTATCGATTTTTCATTGCCAAGGTTCTTGCTAGAGACACTGACTAGCTCAACTAACTACTATAAGTTGGTTTCTCATTGGACTTTTCTGTCCATATTCTACAATTAGAGTAATACTTGGTTGGCGTGACAGTCCTGAAAAACTCATTACTTCATGAATTAAGTACAGACACCTGTAAGTAAGATCAAAGCTCTCAAAAATACTAATATATTTATTCATTTCATGAGTTCATATAATGAGTGGGTAACTGCTAGAGAGAGGAAGGGAATTAATAGTAACTGAATGTTCACTGCATGGCAGGAATTACTAAGTACTCTAGTACGTTACTGCTTTTCATTTGTTATACAAACACCTTATAAGTAAAGATTTGTATCCCTATTAAAGACTGGAAAACTAAGGCATAGGAAACTAAGGAATCTGTTTTAGATCACAAAACCAATAAGTGGGAGGGCCAGGATACAAACTCAGAACTG